ACGACAACTACCACAACGACAACCACGTCAACGACGACAACGACGAGCACCAGCACCTCGACCACCACTTCCACTAGCACAACGCTCGGTTGTCACGATGCCTGGCTACCAGACTGGGCCAGCAGTTCGACTGATGCTTGTGCAGCGTGGGCACAAGACTCTACATGGGGTGCATTAGCAAACGACAAGAGTCTCGCCCTATCTTGCCAAGAACCCTTCGCTTTGACCTCCTGTGCGAAGACTTGCGGATGCGGAGCACCGAGGCGGCAATAATGCAAACTTGGCACCAGATGCAAAGTAAAAGAGCTTAAGGTCTTGCGAGGTGGGAGTGGTGTTCGTTTTGATCTTCCTCGCATCTCCCAAGCCCAGGCACCCTTCACAGCACCATCGGGATGCGACTTTGAGGGCGGCCTGTGTGGCTGGTCCACAGGGTCCTGGATTCAGCAAGACCACCAAACACCGAGCAATGGCACTGGTCCAAGCAACGCGCAGAACGGAAGCTACTACTTGTACGTGGAAGCCAGCGAACCTGCTTTGCCCGGAGATGTGTTGACTTTGCAGAGTCCACCCTTTGATGGTGCGAGCGTGAGTTTTGAACTCAGCTTTTGGTTCCACATGTTCGGCCAGGGCATGGGCAGCCTGCACCTGAAAGGAAAAGATACCACAGATAGCTGGATAGAGCTCTGGAGCTCACACGGCGATCTCGGCGACAACTGGCTGCAAGCCGACATTCCCATTCCAGCGGGCTTCTCTTCCATCCGATTCGATGCAACGGTAGGCCCTGATTGGAGAAGTGACATTGCCATCGATTCCGTACTTGTCAAAACCACCACTACAACTACAACAACTACAACAACTACAACCACGACCACTACAACGACCACTACAACGACCACCATGCCCGGGGTGGGAACGGGCATTGATGCAGTGAGCTGTGACTTCGAAGTTGATTTCTGTAGCTGGTTTAATCCGGACGCAAAGACGCACCTCGGCAAGGAGTTGGCACTAATTCCATACGACCACTGTTTTGCAACGTGGGAGACAGAGATGGAGAGAGAGAAAGACAGAGAGAGAGAGAGAGAGAGAGTTCTGTTGTGAAGTTGAGAAGTGGTAAGCTGCAGCTCTGAGATGCGTGCAGAAGGGGGAGTCTCGTGTTGTGAGCTGGCCTTTACTTGCACAACTTTTCCTGTTGGGGGACTCCACTTTCGGGCCTTTGCACAGCCGAGCCCCTCGAAGGCAACCTTCTTGGGGGATGCTTAAAACCCCGCCGAGACTTGCGGGTGCGCGTTCGCGCGCGGAAGGGGGGGGGTCTCGTGCCTTCTTCTTCCTGCCCCTGTAGAAAGAGAGAGAGAGAAACATGTTTTCTGCCCTCCAGTGTGGTACGTGGAGGCTGCACCGGGAGTTATACAGGACTTCCGGTAACTTGCCCCTATATGCTACCTTGCAGCTCCTAGAGCGGGCGACACGTACAATCAGAACAGTCCACTCCTGTAGCCTGATGCACTGTAGGTGCGTTGAGTAGTCTCGTTGCCTCATGTTGGTACGTGTGGTAGCTTACGCTGTTCTTCGTTCGGGGGACTGTATGTGGTACGCGTATCCGACCCGCAGTCTGTAAAGCCCCATGAACCATGGGGGGCTCTATGGGCCGGGGGGCGTGCCTGGCCCCTCTAACCCGAAGGAAGAAGAAGAGAGTCAGCGTGGCAGTGACATAGGTCCTTGTATTGTAGCTGTGTTTGATTGTGGAACAAGATGTGAGAGGGGATGTTACCCAATGGTGTCCGAGAGCTGCGTGCAGGTTTCTTGAGGAACGACGAGGGACAGTCCCAGCCAGGTTGTCTGCTTAGTGGGCTCATTTTTGTAAAAATGTCATTGCGAAGCTTAGAGTGGACTTGATCCGTTGTTTCCTTTTCACACCCCTTCAAAGACGCCCCAAACAATGGGGGGCCTTTAAAGGCCAGGGGGTTTCGAACGCCCCCTAAGCCCTGAGGAAGAAGAGAGAGAGAGAGAGAGGGTCAGTCAGTCAGTCAGTCAGTCAGTCATTCAGCCAGTCAGTCAGTCAGTCAGACCACACAACCCGGTAGGGCGCGTGGAAGGTTCGCCCCTCTTGCCTGTGTGGAAGAAGAGAGAAAGAACGACAGACTGACTGACAGACAGACAGACAGACAGACAGACAGAAAGAAGGGATGAGAGAGAGAGAGAGAGAGAGATAATTTTAACACATGGGGGGCCCTAGTGGCCG